TCGGATGGCATGTGCAACTGGGTTTGTACCCCAGGGTGAGCGGACACAAGGTCCCAAGGGACTTACGGACCACATGGCCCCGCCTCTCAACCAAATGCACACTCCCCGTACCTGGTACCCATTTCCAGGTCACGGGCGCAACTAACGCGCCGCTGCCACGGGCAAAATGCCACGTGGCTGGTGCAAGAACGACGACAGCCGGTTTATCTGCCCTCAGGCGCCGCATGCAATTGACACTGACAGTGTGCCCCGAGGAGTGTGTGGCGCTGACACCATGAGAACAGGTGCCAGACCCCCACCCTCGGGGCAAGGAGGAGGAGGAGGAGGAGGAGGAGGAGGAGGACGAGGACGAGGAGGAGGAGGAGGAGGAGGAGGAGGAGGAGGAGGAGGAGGAGGAGGAGGAGGAGGAGGAGAGGGGGGAGGAGGAGGAGCATGTCGGAGCACGTGCCAAACGACAAAGACAGCCGTCCCTGAAGGGTGCATCGTGCGCTGCTGGGTCTTTTTGGGGGTTCCGGACGCCTCTGGGGATCTCCGCGGGGCATCGAGGTCCAACAATGGAGCTTGGAGGATTCAGGATGGAGGTTCGAGGATCGAGGGTGGTATGGGCGACGATCGATATTCGAGGATCGAGGTTCGACTATTCTTGGGCATCTCAAAATACCTGTTTCTTTTGGGGCCTTTGGAGCGTCCACAGGCATCCAAGGACCCCCCCCGCTTTGGTAGATCATCTTCGCCAGCCCCGGGGAGGGTCTTACGATCGAGGATCGAGGATAGATGCTGGATCTGCTTGGACCTTCCTGGTGTGGAGCAGCGCGAATCGATCGCATCTCCTGGTCAAGCCTCAATGCTTGAATCTTACCAAAGAATGCAGAGGCATGGGGGTAACATTGATTCAGCGCGGTGACCTAAATGATCCCCAGGCAACCTAAGGCTAATAAAAAGTTTGGTACGCTCACGCGCGGGAGGGCGTGTTATTTGGACGTTCCAATACCTTTTCAGGGCCTCGGAAACCTCCAACGGCACCTGGGGATCCCCCTGGATACCGCGGAAGACCTGAAAAAGATCTTAGGCTGCTGTTGAGCAGTGATCACGTAATCTACTGTATGACTGTTCAGTATTATGTATCTATATGTACAAACGTACGTGTTTATGTATGAATGTGCATGTACATATGATACCCCCGTAATCACACAATGCAATGGCACATGCGAGACCCCACTCAGGGGTATTCTTTTTGCTGGTATCACTTTGCAGTGCAACACACAGATATGCAACGCAACGATGGCCCATGCGTGCAGTTAATAGTACAGCATAGCAATGCGTAGCAGATTTCCGCATAGCGTTTCATGGCAGAGCACAGTTGCACAACATCGAATTCTGCAACCGAGCATCACGTACCGCAACCTTGCATAGCTTACCATGGCGTAGCGCCTAACAGAACATGGCATTGTCGAGCTCTGCGCAGCGTAGCATCAGCACATGCGAATTTTGCAGCACAGCGTCGCTCAAGATAGTGTAACACAACATTGTGTAGAACGTGCGCGAGAAGCAAACGCCCATGTCATGATGTGTCAGTCTAATCCGCCGATCAAGTAGCGTGTCTTTTTTACACAACGAATAAGCCTCCACTCGGAAAGCCTGACTGGGACTCTCTCGCACTCTCTCTGTATATGCATACACATCTGTGTATACATATGTATATACTTGGATTTGTGTATCTATGTACATGTATGTATATAGATCTATGTACCATGGTGCTCGAGACATGCTCGCCCTCTCTATATACAAAAAACATCTTATGATATAAAGCGTACTAGAACCATCGCGCACGCGTCGCGTGCGCTCAAATTCTATCTTTCTTGGAGTCTGGCGCTGGGCTGGGTAGAACTGCCGTGCCCGAGTGAAACGGCGCCGTGGGTTTGGAAGCCGACGCGTTCGTCGCCGAAGACTAGAATGGGTACTCGGGCTAGGGCGAGGGGTGCATAACTACGTGCTAACACATATTCGTGCGTGCATTCACATCTTGGGGGCCTCTTGGGGAAATGCTGGGTGCCTTCTTCGGGGCATGTTGGGAGTTCTGGCGGCCATCTTGAGGGGGGGGGCTCCCAGAGCCCCCCCCCGCTGAGGCCTTTTGGGGCCGTCTTGGGGATCTTTATATAGGTGCTATCAAAAAGTGATAACACAAATGGCACATTACTTGAAGCTTCCCAGGGAACATGACAACCTTTTATGCATGAAAATGCAACTGTGATCCCCCGTATCAACTCTACGATCGTGTATCTTCAGCCGTTCTGGGGCGGTTGGGGCTCTCTTGGGGTCTTCTTGGGCCGTCTTAGGGCGGTCTTGGAGGCCTCTTGAGCCAGCGCGTGCGGTCGGAAAGCGGGAAACGCGAGAACGCAACAAATTCAAGGAAAGCAACCATAGAGGCTTGTCTGTTGGAGCCCACTCGTGGATCCTCATGGTCCCCTCTTGAGACATCGATGGGGGCGTGTTAAGCCGTCTTGCAGCAATCTTGGGCCGTCTGGTAGCCTTTTGGGAACGTGTTGGAGAACACCAAAAAGATTTAGGGGGCCACCAAGATTCGAGGAGAGAGCCCGGAGCAGCCTCCATGGAGGCACCAGGGCGGGACGGGGAACTCATTGTACTCTGGGTACTCCTGGTGTGCTGCGGCCCCATGGTCTCTGGGCCCAGTTTCCAGTAGATGGGAGATCTCATGAATATCAACATAATTTCGACTTTGCTCACGTCGCTTACCGATGCGTATCTGTAAGCACGCGCACATGTGTGCACTTTCATGTATATGCGCACACACACATATATATGTATATGTATATACGTATATACGTATGTATGCATGCGTGCATGCATGCATGTGTGTACGTAGGTGTGTATGTATGTATGCATGCATGCATGTATGTATGTATGCATGTCTGTATGTATGCATGTGTGTATATCTATTTGTATATATATAGATATGTATGTGTATATGCACATGTATATGTATGTATGCAGACATACATGATGTATGCAGGCCTGTCGGTGTATATGTATGTATGTATGTATGTATGTCTGTCTGTCTGTCTGTCTGTCTGTCTGTCTGTCTGTCTGTCTGTCTGTATGTATGTATGTATGTATGTATGTATGTATGTATGTATGTATGTATGTGTGCTTGCATGCATGCATGCATGCATGTATGTATGTATGTATGTATGTATGGATGCATGTGCACACGTATAAATGTGACTATCTTTAAGCACACATATATATATATATATATATATATATATATATATATCCGCTGACCCGATCGGCGTGTGTGAGAGGCTCTTCGACGCGAGGCCAACCCAACCCAAACTGAAATACGCCAGCCTCATTTGATGAATCGTCGTCGTCGAGAGGGAGATCATACAAATAAGAGGGATCGAACAATGTCGCAATTACGTTGAAGGGAAGCCCCTTCCCTTTTCCGTTTTGTCCCTTCGGGGGGTCCTGGGGTGGTTCCGTGGGGGACCCGGGGGTCCTGGGGTGGGGGCTGGCCGTCGTGACCCCCACCTCGGGCTGTCGGCAGCGGAGCTCAGTCAGGACCCCTCCCCCCACCTCGGCCCTGGCTCCAGCCCCGGCCCTGGCCCCGACCTCGGCCCCAATCCTGGCCTTGGCCCTGGCCCGCGGCCCTGGTCTTGGCCCGGGCACCAGCCCCCGGCCCGGGCCCGGGCCACAGCCCTGGCCACCAATGCAGCCCTGGCCCTGGCCCTGGCCCCGGCCTGGGCCACAACTCTGGCCCCGGCCCCGGCCCACCCCCGAGAAGACAGACCGCTCCTCCTCCTCCTCCTCCTCCTCCTCCTCCTCCTCCTCCTCCTCCTCCTCCTCCTCCTCCTCCTCCTCCTCCTCCTCCTCCTCCCCCCTCCTCCTCCTCCTCCCTCCTCCTCCTCCTCCTCCTTCCCTCCTCCTGCTCCATCGCTCCTGCTCCTGCTCCTGCTCCTGCTCCTCCTCCTCCTCTCCTTCTCCTCCTCTTTCTCCTCCTCCTCCCTCCTGCTTTTTCTCCTCCTCTTCCTCCTCCTCCTCCCTCCTCCTCCTCCTCCTCCTCTTCCTGCTCATCTTTTTTCTTCCTCCTCCTCCTCCTCCTCCTCCTGCCCCTTGTCCTCCTCCTCCTCCTTCTCCTTATCCTCCTCCTCTTTCTCCATCTCCTCCTCCTCCTCCTCCTCCTTCTCCTCCTCGTCCACCGCCCGCCCCATGTCCCGAGCCTGTGGCAGGGTCATCAGCTCGTCGTCGTCGTCGTCGCCGTCGTCGCCGTCGCCGCCGCCGCCGCCGCCGTCGTCGTCGTCGGCGTCGGCAATCGAGGTCGGCAGCACTGGCTGTAAGGCCTTCGCAATATAGAAAGGCTGTGCATGTATATGTACATACATATATATATATAACAATATGTACATACACCATATAACTGTGTAGGCGCACAACTGTCGAGGGCGATCGCGTGGCTCGCCGTAATTATATATTTCAGTTTGAACTGCTTCTGGGGGCGATCAAACATGGCGAACTCACGCACCGAGGCGATGAGGACCCGAACGGGCTTCTGGGGTGGAGCCACGAAACAGTAGCTCTCGCATGGGAGGTGATCGAAGTTGCCTCCGAGGAGGCCCGCCAGTATGCTCAGGGCTACTCTGCACTGCGAGGGCACACCCGCTGTGCCGATATGGCTCCCACCCGCTCAGGAAGGAACTCTTCACGGCAAAGCCCTCAGGCTCCTCGCAGGTCCCATCCCCCCAGAAGGACCCCACCTGACACGAGCAACTGACATGCCACCGCTCCGCACTCTCCAGCCCACCCCTGCTGACGTCCGCCCGCCGTCCCGCCTGCGTCAGGGCCCGCCCGCCCCCCGGCCCACCCGAGCTCCCAGGGCGGCCGCGTCGGCGCCACCGACGCGGACCGCGGCGGGTGCAGCCGACGTGGTGGCCTGGTGCCGCCGACGGCGCGCCTCGCACGGGCCAGCAGCGCCACGGCTCTCACGGCGAGTTGATGGCCTTGCCGAAGGCCGTCATCTGCGCCGCGCCCTTGAGCGCCTCGGACAACGTCGGGTGGGCGTGGCACACGCGTGCCAAGTCCTCGGAAGAAGCACCGTACTCGATGCCCACGCAGGCCTCGGCGATCAGCTCGCCGGCCATGGAATTGACGATGTGCACGCCCAACAACTTGTCCGTCGCCTTGTCGGCCAGCACCTTTACAAAGCCAGCCTCCTCGGCAACGCACTTGGCGCGCGAGTTGGCGCCGAAGACAAACTTGCCTTTCTTGTACGCGACGCCCTCGCCCTTGAGCTGCTCCTCCGTCTTGCCCACCCAGGCCACCTCGGGGTACGTGTAGACGACGGAGGGTACGGTGTTGTAGTCCAAGTGGGGCGACTTGCCGGTCGCCAGGTACTCGGACAGGAGGGCGCCCTCGTCCTCGGCCTTGTGCGCGAGCATTGGGCCCTGGACGATGTCGCCGATCGCGTAGACGCCAGGCACATTCGTCATGTAGTTGTGGTCTACCTTCACCTTCTTGCCGTCCATTTCTACGCCCATGGCCTCGAGGCCGAGGTTGTCCATAAATTGCCGTCGCCCGACGCACACCAGGACCACGTCGGCCTTGTCCACCGTAGTCTCGCCGCCAGCTGCGGGCTCCGTGCTGACCTCCACCAACCCGTCGACCTTCTTGACGCCAGTGACCTTCGTCTTCAGCTTGAACTGCATGCCTTGCTTCTTGAGGATCGCCAAGAAATTCTTGGCCACCTCTGCGTCAATGCCGAGACCACCAATACTATCGAGGAACTCCACTACCGTCACCTTGCTCCCCAGCCTCGCCCAGACTGATCCGAGCTCCAAGCCTATTACGCCACCGCCAATGACGGTCAACGCCTCGGGCACCTTATCCAGCTCGAGCGCACCAGTGCTGGAAACAATCTGCTTTTCGTCGAGCTCGATGCCGGGCAGGCTCATCACCTCGGAGCCTGTGGCCAACATGATGTTCTTGGCCTCTATTGTCTGCTCCCCGCCGTCGTTAAGGGCAACCTTCACGGAGTTGGGCCCGGCCAACGTGCCGTGCCCGACAGCGTAGTCGACCTTGTTCGCCTTGAAAAGCATCTCGATACCCTTCGTGAGCATGGTCACGGCCTTCTTCTTGTTCTGCATCATCTTGCCCAGATCTAGCTCCACGCCAGACACGTTGATGCCCCTGTCCTTCAGGTCGTGCTTGGCCATGTGGTAGAGGTGCGAGTTGTGCAGCAAGCTCTTGGAGGGGATGCAGCCCACGTTCAGGCACGTGCCTCCGAGCTTGCCCCGGCGCTCGACGCACACGGTCTTCAGCCCCAGCTGCGCGGCCTTGATGGCGGCGACGTAGCCCCCTGGGCCGCCGCCGATGACGCACAGGTCATAGGGCGAGCTCGACGAGAACAGGCGCTAGCTGGGAAGAAAACGGAGACCATGACCAAGACTGAACGTGGAAGCGTCGTATCGAGCTCGGCCACCAGCGATCTTGGTCGGCGTCAATTCGTGGATCGTTCTCGCGAATCGGCGACGGCCGATATGGACCGTGACCAAGATCGGCATTGATCAAATCCTGCGACATCTTTTGAACAGGGTCCGAACATGTTCGAAGAACAGAAGCAATGTTCTTAGAACGTGAGCCCGATGCGTTCAAACCGCTGAGCCTCAGCCAGACATGTTCTAAGAACATTTCGTGCTGACCACATACGGTTCTGAGAACATTCTTTGGTGGCCTGTAGGCAAGTCAAGACGCTTCGCCACTGCTTGAATCTTGCTCATGGCACCCGTTGTTCTTCCCTCGCTGGCCGCGCAGCCGCAGCGCCCTGGGCCCCTGCCCGGCGGCCCGCAGTGCCATCTCGTTCGGCTGTCGCGCGAGCCCGGGGCGCGTTCGGCCTGGCCCCTGCTTTCGCGGCCCTGGCCGGGGCCCGGGAACGATTCCAGGGCAGAGTGGCTGCGGGACTGGGTGTTATCACTCCTCTGTCTCCTCCTCCTCTTCCTCCTCCTCCACCTCCTCCTCGATTCCTTTTCTTCATACATAACCACTCCCTGTCGCACCCCGAGGCCGGTCGCAACGGCGGGCTGGGCGTTTCGCCTGAGACTTCTTCGTGCTCTGTGACACTGGAGCATAAAAGCTGGCAACAGTTTCGCATATGGAAGGCAGGCCGTTTTCAAAATGTGGCTCTCGCCTGAGCGCCGCGCGCGTTCGCTTTAAACATTGGCACAATTTCACGGATTGAAAGCAGATCGTTTTCAAAATGTGGCTCTCGCCTGAGCGCCGCGCACATTCGTTTTGAACATTGGCGCAATTTTCAAGGATTGAGGGCGGGTGGTTTTCAAACTGTGGCTTTCGCCTTAGCGACGCGCACTTTCGCTTTTTAACGTGGCACAAGTTTCACGGATTGAGGGCGGGTGGTCTTCGAACTATGGCTCTCGCCTTAGCGCGGCGCGCATTTGCTTAAACAAATGACAGAATTTCACGTATTGGAGGCGGTTCCTTTTCAAACTGTGGCTCTCGCCTTACGCCGCGCACGCTCGTCTTGAACATCTGCAATACATTGACGGATTCCCACTGTCAAGCTGCCAGACATGGTGTTTCGGTCGGAATCAGGATTGTGAGGGTGCGAGAATTGTGCTGATTCGTGTTGAAGTCCCAGGAGCGGTGTTCCAACACGATTCCGGATCGTCAAGACAAGGCGCAACAATCATGTTGATTCGTGGCGCTGGAGTCCCGAGAACGGTGTTCTGGTACGCTGCAGGGTCGTCAAACGGTTGTCTCCCCACGGGGCAGTTCCATCAGTGGAAATGAACCCTTGTATGGGGCCTATGAAGAGGGAGCTTGGAGGGAGGGCTTACTCCACATCGTTGATGATTCCTCCTCCTTCTCCCCGTTCTCCTCCCCTTTCTCCTCCTCCTCCACTTCCTATTCCTCTTCCTCTTCTTCTTTCTCCTTCTCCTCCTCCTTTTCTTCTCCTCCTCTTCTTCGGGATTGCGCCGTATACTCCTCGCAACAAACATGGCGGCCGAAACAAAACAACCGATGGCTCCTTCGAACCCCAGGCCTCCTCCTCGTCTGGCCATGCCGCGTAGCCATGCGGGAGCTTTCTGGCTACGAAGTCTTAGTGATGCGAACTCCCCGAACCCCCGTGGCCCTAGAATCGCACTGCTTTGTAAGCTTCTGGGCCTTCAAGGGGCCCGAACCTTTCAAGCGTGCCCCGCTACTCGCATAGACCTCGCACCAACATGTACTCCTGTACGCATTGATGCGATGGGATGGGTGGAAACTGAGCGGCCTACCGATGCACTCTCCTGCCAGACACCCCAGCACGTCTCGCCCCGTCGCCCCCCCCCCCCCCGCTCCGCAGTTCTTGCAAGCAAATCGACCGCGCAAGCCCTAGGCCGCCTTATGGGCGGAAGCGGATACCACGTCTCCGGGGTCCTGCAGTTCCTGTTGCCCCCTCACCTTCCCTTCGATTTGGCGGGCGGCGCGCGAGGAGGGGCTTAGCAAGAGACTGGCAGAGGAGGCAACGTGATGAGCAACGGCCAACGAGTGAGACTGCACAGGCCAGACGAGCTGGTCCAACCCAAGAACTGCTATCACAGCACACCCTGGAAACTGGCAGGCTGTCGCCGCCTCCTCGGCGGCCTTATCTGCCGCCGCGTTGGCGAGCCAATGCGACTGCGGCGCGCCGTCTGCGTTATCTGCTGTCGCTGGGTCCGCGTGCGATTTCGCCTTCCTCCTTCTGATCTGGCAATTTCCCGCGGTCTCCCAAAACTGCTTCCGCGCAAACTCATTGGTCCCTGGTCTTAACCTCGGGCCTTTCAAGAAAGTCTTGACCACCCCCTCGGTCCCGAGCGATGCCTCGGTGGCCTCTTTGAGTTCAGCAAGAGGCGCGGACTGCTTGAACACCGGAAGAGGCCCACGCCCCCGCGCAACGAGCTTGTCTCTACGCACAACTGCGACAGGCACAATGTCGCAGCCGAGGCTCAATGTAATACTCCCCCTCCGACCCGTCAGAACCAGCTGCGTCCCCCTCCTCGAGACGGACCGCTCCGTCAGCGAGCGATGCTGAGTGCGCGAGTCTGGCGTCAACCGTCGTGTCAACATGTTGCGTGGCCCAGGGTGCCGGCGGAAGACCTTGTAGCCAGAAGATCGGGGCATCCTCTACTTCCGCGCGCGCCTGCTCGATTCGGCACGAACTTCTGCGTTCTTAAGCACCCCCAAGTCTCGTGAAACAGGGTCTCCTCTGAGGCACCGTGGCGAGGGCATGTGGGGGATTTGCTTGGGGAGCCCGCAGGCTCTGGGACCCCTGCGTCAGGGTCAGGTTGCGGTTTCTCGCAGAGGTGACACATGCCTTCCTCCTGGGCGGCGAGATCCACCATCTCTTCGAAAGCACCAGGGCAAGGAGGGGCAGGGGCAGCAACAACAACAAAGGCAGGCTCGGCAGTGGACGCCCCCGGCTTAGCAACTCTGCTGATGGACTCGCATGCCGCGTGGAGAAGCGGGCCCACTTCCTGGGCTGGCTGATCATCCTGGATTCCAGGCGTGGCCCTACCCTCCTCTACCCCGAACCTCTTTCCGCTTGGCCATCGGGCCCCAGTGAAGACCATGGCGATGGCGAGAACAGCGGCCTTGCCGTGCTCCTTTTTCGCCTTCAAAAGAGCGATGTGCTTGAGATCGACTATGATTCAGCCCCCAGACCGGCTCCCCTGCCGTGGTAGTGCTGCGGCACCAGCGCCTGCGGCTTACTCGCGATGGAGCCACCCCAGGCCATATCTAACGACTGATCAGCGTCACCAGTGGGCAAGTCATTCTCAGCACCGCCCGAAGAGTATTTCCAAAGCCCGGCTTCTGATGCCATCCATCTGAGGTCCAGCAGATTGGCAATGCGGCGCCCGTGGCCCCCCCGTAGCTCTGCTCCATTTCGACTTGGAGCAACTAAATTCTCGCCAAAGCTTTTCCCACGCGAGCTTCAAAGGAGCGCGACGGTCCGCCGCCGCGACCGGCAGCGTGTCGACCCAGGCTCGAAGAACATGGTACGGATCAAAAACGAGCGGGTCCTGTTGCTCGCGGACACGGCCCCCTTCCTTGCGTAGCCCCGTGGGCCCCGCGATCCGAGCTCGGAGCTTCTGGGGGGTGCTGGGCGCCAGTCTCATGCCTTCAAAACCCCATGCGGCCTCCCTTGGGGAGAAAACCTGTTCTGCCAAGCGTGACTGCCTGTGGATTTGTTTTAGCTACTTGCGCGATCATGGCTCCGCTGCTACGCGCAGCGTGCAGTCTCTCCATGACAGTCCCCACCGACTGGCGACTCGACGACGCGTCAACCAAAACATTGTTGACACGCTGCGACGTTTGGAGCCTGATTCCCCTAGCGGCTAAAGGCTTTGAAACAACCTCGACAGTGGCTGGCCAGTTGGCAACGATCGTGCCATGCTGGAGACTACTCGCCCACTATCTTGGCATTGGTCAGCTTGATATCACGCAGTCGCTGTCGATTTTTCCTACGCAGCCCTGCTGTGACCGACGATGCGTTAGGACATGCCGTTCGCCCAGGCAGCGAGCTGCAGCGGCCTGTGCTTAGCGTGCACATCATGGGGGATCCCGCAGATGCTCGCACCATGTCTACAGGATGGTTGCAGCCCGCCAGCCGGCCACTGGGCAACGCGCTGATTTCGCTCGGGCCTCCTGCGGCCCGCGTCCGCCGTGGGCAGAAGTGGATTTCCATGGCCGAGGTGCTCGGCGATTTTGGCCGCCCCGAATTCTCCGAAGCCTCCGCGCATTGAAGGCGGTCGTAAAACTTCGAGGTCCTAGACGATTGATTTCGAGCCGCGGCAGTCCCTGGATGATCGCAACCTCCTGGCACAACTGACGCACAAGAGCCGCTCGTAACGGCGAGCTTCCCTTCGTCGCCTGGGCCTGCGACTACGCGCCGTCCTTGGCCCGCTGAGCGACTTCGCCTCGCCGCGTCGCAGGCCGCTTTCTGTGCGAGGCGCGTGCGAGCGTGATTAGGAGATCCGCTTGGACCGACTTGTAGTTTAGCCGTGCAGCGTTATCCTCGACCTGCTTTGGCCACTCGCGCGCAGCCTCGACTTGCTGCGTTGCCTGGGGCAGCTGGTCCAGGCCTTCATCTGGGAGCTGAGCCCACCGCCTGGGGCTTTGGCAGTCGAGCCCCATGCCTACAACGCCCTTGCAACCTCTGAACCCCCTGTCGAGCGTTTCTTTTGTTATGGGCTCAGCCTGTTCAGAATCTGCAGCGGCGCGAGCGCGAAATGCGGGGCGCCGGCGTTCCTCCTGCGGCCTCCCTCTGGGCATCCCAGGCGGGCCCCTGGGGCGCTGGGGATTGGGCCAGGCCTGGGCTTTGCTGGCAGCGATCCTAATTGGCTCTTTCATGATCTGGTCATGCTCGTCTAGCTCCGCTGCAGGGCTAGGCTCGGGCTTCCCCCGAGTCCTCGCCCAGCGATGCGCGGCTCCTGCTCCTGCGCGAAGGTTCTGGGCTATCCAAGCCTAAGCCCTATTATAGGGTGACTGCGAGCGATCTCCCCCCCCACCTCCCGCCGTCGCCCTCCCCGACTCCGCGCCCAACGTGTCCCGTGAATCGGCGCGGGCCAGCGGGGGCTGCGGCGCGGCGGTTAGCCGACCTAAAATGTTGGCTCGTCGTTCGCCCTGGCCCTTGCAGGCCCGCGCCTGCCTCTGCGCGCTGGCCCGCGCCATGTCGATCATGCGTGGCCGTGCCCTTGTGCGCTGTGGCCTTTGCCTCTCCGAAGCGTGTCTCCAACGCGCTGCGTCTCACCAGGCCCTCCGTTTCCTTCATCCAGACCGGTGGCCTGCCCTCCATTGGTCTCAGTGAGCAGGCCTCCGCTGGTCGGTGCCTTGGAGTGGGCGATGGTCGCGCCCAGCTGGTAGAGCAAGTTCTCCGCGGCCATGGCGAACTCCAGCCTCTGCGTTGCCTCTTTTTTTGCTGGCTCTTGCGCGTCCAAGGCGGGGTCCAGCTTGCCGCCGTCGATCTTGATGCGACGGCCTGCGCGTGATAGGCCCGCCCCTTGTCAGGTCCTCTCATCCCTGCAGTGAGGGGTGGGGGGGCCAGCGGCGCCCTGTGCTCGTGGTTCATCGCGTCCAGCGCGAGCCCGGCATCGATGCCGAACTTTGGGGCTGCCCGCGGGCCCAAGAGATCCCGCTGTGTGGTTATGGCTGTGCGCGAGCCCTCTGCGATCATCGCGCACTGAATGGCGCTCCATCTAAGCGGGTGCCACCAGGACAGTCCAGGGCCAATCATCTACAGCGCCATGTTCCAGCCGTCGATCAGGATGACAGGTCTACCCATGGAGGTGGCGACGCTGGCGATCCCATCCATCGTGATGAGGCTGCTGTCAGCAGGGCCCATGCCGACTGTGAAGTAAACTGCGACGAATATAAGATCTCAACACCACCTGCGGCACGTATAACTTAACCAGCCCACTTCGAATGGTTTCAACGTGTTCAGATATCTGGTGCAAGTTCTTGTGCTCCGTCGTTATCGGCCAGGGTGCCAGTCAACTCCGCGCCTGCAGCAGCGCCACTTCATGCCCATGCCGTCCTCCTATAGTAGGCGTAGCTGGCGCGGGGGCACAAGCCGAAATTCATCAGCTTCTTCGCCGGCCGTGATAATTTTGGGCCCGCGAGGTGATGCTCGACGAATCCACGCAGGCCCAATCCACCTGCGTCTCGGCCGCGTCGCTCTTCGACTTCCCCCGCGAAGTCCAAGCCTTCGTGGGCCAAGCTCGTACTATTAGCGAAATAACACTCGAGCCCGTATGTCTTGTTCTTGCCCCGCCGATGCGGCTTCCTCCCGTTCCAAGGCCGCCCGGCTGCGCCCGGGCCGCCCCTGGCTGCTCGCGAGCAGGGGCGCGGGAGCTCGGTGGGGCCAAGGAAGGATCGGCCGTGAATTCGCGGCACCAATCGGAGTCCGCGTGCCGCGGCGTTCTCGCCCCTCCCGTGTCGGCGCCGCCCCGCCGCGCCAGAACCGCCCCCGGCTGGTGGCGTGCACGGGGGTGGGGGCTAGGTGGGGCCATAGGGGCCGTGGCGGGAAGCAACTGGCACACAAGCGCCGTCATGCTGTTGATCACTTCCAGCGTATCATGCAGCTCATTTCTCGGGCTACACGCGCTTCCTGCGCTTGAAACCCATGGCCTTGAGCTTGTCCAGGATGGCTCGCTTCTCTCCGCGTAGCTCCTCCCAGACATGCTCCACCTCTGTGAGGTCCATATCTTCATCGAAATCTGGACCAGCCTGTTCTGCGCCTCCGCCCCAGTCAACTGGTTGGCGACTGCCAGCACCGGGAGGATAGGGCGGCGCCGCCTTGACCGTGCCTGTGAGCTTGGTGCTGGTTTTGGAGGCGAGCAGCTGCTGCACCTCTGGCTCCTGGGAGAGCTTCTCCTTGTCTATGGCATCGGTGCTCTACGGTGGAATCTCTGCCTTGACGGGCATCGTGTCGACCAGCAGCTGCTTGGCCTTATCGATCTTTTTTCCCAAAGCATCCCGCTGCGTTTCGAGCTTGACCCCCAGGGCCTTCGCAGCCTCGGGCTCGACGACCTTCTTCTGGTTCACAATCTCTTTGTCCAGCGCAGTCTGTCTACACGCCAGCTCGGCCAGCTTATGCCCTGCATTCGCGTGGCGCGTGGACTGCGGCTTGGTATCATGCAGCTCCACCTGCGTTTCCACCTACTTCGCACGCAGGCGCTCGATCTACTCCTTATCCGTTCCAGAATCCAGCTCTTTCGCCAGCCGTCCGAGCATGGCGACCCGCCCCGCAGCTTGTAGGTTGGTCCTGCGCCGTCAGCGTTGTCGCCCCCGCTTGCTGCGAGCCTCCCGCTGGCGCGTAAGCAAGCTGCCCGTGCGATTGTGCGACTGCACCCTTCTCAGGCTGGGCGGGCCTTGAGCTTGGCTTGGACCGTGGTGGCGAGTTGGGCGATCGATTCCTTCGTGCGCTCAAGTTGCTTAGCCGGTGCCCCCTCCATGCTGCGGGGCAGGCCCAGGCTTGGGCCCTCGATCGCTTTGGTGTTTCTGATGCCCTTTGGGGCGTTGGCCCCGCGTGCACATTTGATCCTGCGCGACCGAGTGCTGCTCCGTCCACACGCGCAACCCCCATGAGGTCCCTTGGGCCCCGCGAGAACCGATGGTTCCCCATTTCCACGATTCATCGAAGCCTCTGGGCGGTTCGTGCGCCCTCTGGCATAACTTTGCCCCCCCCCCCCCCCCAGGAGCTTGCGCAAAGTCGGGGAGAAGGCCTGGGAGGCGAGGCAATGCCACCTGTCTGCCCCCCAAGCCTGCATCGCTGTCCAGGCCAGCTGGCTGGACAAGTAACAACTTGAAGAACTTGAGCTACAATGGCTTGAGCCAAAATAGCTGCGGCATCCTCTTCCTCTTCCTCCTCCTCCTCCTCCCTCCTCCTCCTCCTCCCTCTTTCTCCTCCTCCTCCTCCTCTTCCTCCTCCTCCCCCTCCTCCTCCTCCTCCTCCTCCACCTCCTCCTCCTCCTCCTCCTCCTCCTCTTCCTACTCCTACTCTTCCCTCCCCCCCTCTCCTCGAGGGGCGGGTGGGATCCCAGACGTGCTGGCGTCGCGGAGCGATCGCGACGGAAGGGTTTGTACCTGCTGTTCGCCTCCAGGGGCCCTATCTGGGCCCCGCGATCGTCGAAGAACGGTTCGGGATGAAGAGCCGCCGGCCTTTTGGAAAAGGTCGGGATTTCTGGGGGCCCCGAGTTGAACATATCAGAACATTGGATGTCAAGGATTTGGGAAGCTTTAGAACAACAGCAATGTAATGACCCAGGGAGCAGCGAACGCCATCCGAATCCGAACTATTCGTTATCTCGGCGTCTCGGCTGTGCGCCCAAATCGTCTGGTCGGCCAGGGGGGCGGTGCATGCGCGCCCCAGCTTTCCAATCTGAATGGTGCTGCAGCGTTTTTGAACCGAGCTTGTTCGCCGAGTTCATTAGCTTGAGGTCGGCCATG